TGTTATAGGATCGTTCGCTGGGTTCGCCCTGGTTACACATTCGAGTTCTCACCACGGTGCAAATGTGACCAGCTGGGATTAAAACCCTATGCTCTAGTGCCAGTATAACGCCTCACTACCCACTGGGCAAAACGAGGGTCAACAGAGATCGCAGCAGAATTATGTGTTTATATCTCAGGTACGTTACATGAAAGGTGCATGAAAGGCAGAACGCCATGACACATTGATTGCAGAATGGGAAATGGACACCACTGGTCTCTTCTCCTTGCACCTATCTCTCAGGGTTTAGGGTCAATCAGAGTTGCACTCTCTCACATCCGTCCGACGTCCTCTTTCTCCCGTGCCTCTGAATTGACGCATGGCTCCCCCCCAGCCTGCCATGCTGATTGTGGAAGCATCGCCGTGTGCGTGGCGAAGAATGGCAAGCCCCGGTGCATGTGCCCTGGGAACACCGTCTTCACTGCCGGCGATCGATCGTGCAGAGGTGAGCTTTCATTTGACATGCATGTCCATTCTGGTTGCCATCCTTGTTTATGCATGTTAGCTGGACCTGCTCCCCCTCTTCATCCATCAATACTCTCCTTCGACGATGACCATCAGTCCAGCGTAACAGTTCGCTCATTTTCGAACTTCCCCTCACTTTTATACCCCCTCTTCCCCCCCCCCTTTTTGTGCATTCCATCCCCCTTAGCCAATCCTTCCTGTGTGAAACAGCGCCAGCAGCACCAGCGTTAGGGCTGATGGGTTAGGCGGGGCAGCAGCACTGTGACCCAAGCTGCGTGCACGCTCAGCCACCACATGAAGACCTCCAATGCCGATGCATGGGTTCTGAGTGACATGTCATAGCAGGGGGGCAGCATAGAGCTGCGCATGGAGCAGCAGCAGTGCAAGACAGGGTTCGTTCAAGATGGCGGCATGCACAGCATCTAGCTCCCACAAGTATTGCAACACGAGGAGCATGCACGGTGTCATGCAGGGTTCCTGCTAGTTTTTAGGGCAGTCTGAAAATCAGACGGGTTCTTAGAGCTTCGTCTGACCGTCAGACTGATTTTTTTGGGTTGTCTTACGATTCAGACGAAATGCAAGCACGTGTCTGAGAATTCAGATGAATTAGCGTTCACCAATACTACCAACATAGAACATTATTTCAAAAGTCAGAATATTGCTGCTAAACCATACAAGGAATAATCATCAGCTACTACCATATCAGGAATAATCTATCGTGGCACTGGGATAGCCTGGTCGAACCTCTTCTCTCTCTAAGGACGATACTAGGGAGGATTTCCCTAGGGAAGGTGGATATATGGAGCCTAACTCTCCTGAGAACATCCCTTCTTGTCCCAATGGTTAGGACTGGTGACTTGATGACTTGGTATCAGAATGATCTAGGGTTCAATTCCTGGTGTACACGCTGTGCAGCGGGGGGATGTGTCGTGGCACTGGGATAGCCCTGCCGAACCTCTTCTCTCTCTAAGGAGGGTATTAGGGAGGCTTTCCTTGGGGACGGTAGATATATGGAGCCTAACTCTCCTAAGGACATCCCTTCTTGTCCCAACGGGTAAGACAAGTGACTTTATGAGTTAATCAATAGACTATTGCAGATGTGAGCTCAGCTAAGCTCACAAACTACTCATAACAGCACTGCTGTTGCTGCTACTCCTGCTAATATCGCTACTGGTGCTGCTGTAGCTGCTGCTACTCAGGGTTTCCGCTAGGATTTAAGGCTGTCTGATAATCCGATGGTGGTTCAAAGTTTGGTTTGACCATCAGACAAAATTTTCAACAAGTCTTATTTTTTAGACGAAATTTTTACGCAAGTCTGAAGATTCATACGGTTTTTTTTTGCGCGAGGAACTTCGTCGCTTGCAATTTCGAACTCGATTTGTTCGTTTCCTATATTTCCTGCTGAGACTGTGTTCCTACAAACCTCTTCCTAGGCTATCCGATTCCCAGACTCTTCGGCCCTTGCTTGAGAGCGCGCTCGAAGGTCCCCTTGTCAAGCTCATTTCGTTTCAGTTTCACATTCTCAACCGATTTGAACCCGCTCGCGTCATAATCGAGCTGTACAGATTCGTGCCTCTTTGAAAAACGTGCGCTAGAGAAGAAGTTTAAAACACACCCTGAACCTCGACATTCTAAACCACGTGGAACCACATGAAACCGTTTTGTGTCAAAATTACACGGTGTTGAAGCATACTCGACAGAGTTTACGTATCCTTCTCGAAGTTTGCCAACCTCATCCTCGTGGTGACCTATCGGCTCTTCAGATCCTCTGACTTGCTGTCGCAGTTCAGCAACCAACGACCGGGATCGAGCCGAAAACAGTCAAGCAGGCCCTCTCTGGCTCCGATGCTGACAAGTGGCGAGTGGATATGGATGCAGAGGTAGCAGCTCTCAAGAAGCAGAAAACGTGGAACCTCGTTCCACGTGAAGCAGCACGCGGCAAGAAAATCCTTTTGGACAAGTGGGTCTTTTGCATAAAGACAAATGCAGCATGTGAATCAGACAGATTCAAGGGGAGATGGGTCGTTCGAGGTTTCGAACAAACCCACGCCATCGATTACGACCAGACTTTCGCTACGGTCAATCGTCATACCGCAGTTCAAATTCGTCTCGCCATTGCTGCCAGCCGCCACCTTCCACTTGCAGACGTCGATGCAGATATTTTCATCAAACTCCCTCACACTTACGGTGACGGACTCCACATCTGCAAGTTACTTAAATCACTCTACGGCATCAAACAGGCTCCTTGCCTGTGGCAGCAGCATCTTCACAAGGTATTGATTTCACTCTACTTCGTGCAGCTACCCCACGATCCTGGAATGTACAGACTTGAATTTCAAGGGAATTAAATTCTCCTAGTCGCCTACGTGGACGACTTACTGTACACCAGCTTGTGCAATAGTCTTCTGGCACGCATGGAGGGAAGAATCCAAATGATTGTTGAAGTGACTATTTCCTCCAACGTCACCCAATTTCTTGGGTTTAATGTCGATTGCGGCCCCGATGCCATCTACCTTTCTGCAAGCAAGTACGCAGAAACACTTGCGAAAAGGTTCGTCATCGCTCCTATCAGCCTCACCACTCCATTTCGTCACATTTCAGCCAATCACACACCTGATTATACCCCACTTATTGCCTCCGAGCATCAGCTTTACCAGCAGCAGCTCGGGTGACTTCTATTTGCAGCTGTTACATGCCGCCCAGATCTTGCCTACACCACGAGTCAGCTTGCAGAGAACCTACGCTGACCTGAAGGGGAGAATATGGCCGATCTTCATCGAGCCCTCCAACATTTCATTTCTACTCCTACAATTGGCATCAGCTACACAACAAACACTGCAGCAAACTTTCGACTGACAAAATACGTTGATGCGGATCACGCTGCTGACCTCGACAACAGGCGTTCGCGTATAGGGTTCATTTTCAAACTTGAACCAAGTGGTGTCATTTCTTGGAACTCAACGCAACAGGAAGTCATCGCACTTTCGTCAGCCGAAGCAGAATTCGTCGCAGCAAGCTCTGCAGCAAACTTACTTCAAGAGGCAAAAATCGCAACGTTACGTAACGTCAAGTTACTCTGCGATAACCAGAGCGCAATCAAGATTGCAAACAAGCCCGATTTCATCAACTAGACAAAGCACATTGCCCTCCATTACTTCTTCGTCATGGACAAAATCGACAAAGGGAAGATCAGCATGAAAAAGTGTCCCACAGAAGAAATGGCAGCTGATTTTTTTACGAAGAAACTCCCATGCGGCAAGTTTCAATACTGCTCCAACATGGTTGGAATCTGCAAACGTGGCAACACTTACCCAGAGACATACACTCAGGAATGAAGGGGAGTATTGAAGTATACTCGACAGAGTTTTCTTCTGCATTCCTGATATAAGACTTAGACTGTACTAGTAGCGTGATACCTCATATGGAAAGATGTGCATGTCAACGCGTGAACAGTAGGTTCACATGTATAGTCACCGTAGGGTCACGCCACTCTCAGTCATACGAACAGTCACTAGTCATGTCACGTGTCACCTGATACACTGCGAATAGGTATATCCGAATAGGTATTTTCTAGACTATAAATATGCCAGTATTATCCATTATTATTATCCTTGTCATTTCTGACATTTCCAATACAAGGTGTAAAGTCTTCCGCTGGTTTTTACTCGTGGTTCCACCAACTATAGATCCTGGCCACCCTAAACACGTGGTTCACTTCTACGCACAGCACTATAGTGCGCGCATTTGGAAAGGGGTAAAGCTGGGAAGAGGCCGCAGGAAAACGCTATACAGTAATTGGATGAGGGGCTTGGATATAGTCAGAACATCGCATGTGGCGTGACATGTCACGTGCAGGCAGCCCCCTGTCCTTTCACCCCATCATTTCAGGGTTCGCCCCCGCCCCCAATCCGGTCAAGCGACGAAGCAAAAAAACAGTAGTGTGAAAGCAAGGTAGCAGGGACTTAGCCGGGAAAACCGGGCTGCGAGGGGTGTGTGGGGGAATGTTTCTCAAAGTAAGGGACTTCACCAAATTTTTGGGGTTGTGTGTGGTGTGTTGAGGAATGTCTGTAGTGTGGGGGACTTAGCCAGAAATTTATTGTTGCGAGGGGTGTGTGGGGGAATATCTTGTCCTGATGTTTTGTATACAGTGACGGAAACAATCGTCCTGATGTTTTGCATTGATTAGGTTTTTTCGTCTTCTCAAATACTGTACATACAATCTTAGTATTTAATATGTTAGGATTAAGGACAGAGTCTAGGTGAACTTAGGAGCTAGAATTACTCAAAATATAAATCCGAAATTCTGGACAGAAAAGTCGTCTTCACAAGAAACGACGTCGACAAAACACTAGCCGTTGGAATGTCGCGAAACTTGGATATGTTGTAGCTCTTGATCTCAGCTACCGTTCCCAATTTGAATCACGTTGATTGATGAAGTATTCGCGACGCTATGGCTTTCGACGCACTAGGGGGTAAGCTGTAGGAGGAGAACTTAACTCAATCTCAAGAGTTCAATCAAAGTTCAAGAATCTCACAAGGAATTTGAGGAGCAAGAGAAAGGTTGGGATAGAAAGAGAGGGACGAGAGGGAAGGTCCCAAGAGAGTCCCCAACCAAGGAAACCCCATAAGCACAAAGATTCCCTCCCTATAGGAACCTCAACTTTGACCTTTGTCCCTTCCCAACCAATCCATCCAAGTTGGCCACCCTTGCCAACCTAGCTTGGTTGTTCCCAACCAATTTGCAGCTGTTACAGTAGAGTGACAAATTTCCCCAACCCCAAAGGTCCCAACTCCATATAGAGTCACCCCACAACTTCACTTTGTAACCGCCGCAATTGTAACGCAAGCTCATGAACTTTGAATCTTCATAGCTTTCGCGTTCTTGCTCCGATTGAAGCGATTCTTGTTGCGTCGGAAAGATCTTCTCAAGATCTATCATCAAAATACCTGCTCAAACAAAAATAACACAGAACACATTCCCAAACTCCAGAACACACCACACACAAATTCTTTCACATTCAAACCACACATGCAAGTTGAAAACATGGGATGGGAGGCAGACAGAATGTGATAGCATATGATGACATCACACAACAATCTCCCCCTCTGGCTGCCAACCATCATCGACCATACCACATCTCAAGCATGCATACTCAATGCACACTCATCCCAGCAAGCTTCATGCCCTTCCAATGATCCGCCTCCGCCAGACGCTTAGTGAAAATATCTGCTGCCTGCTGATGGGTCTTCACTATCTCCAGCCGCACCTCCTTATCAAGGATTCTCCTCACCCAATGCCACTTAGGCCTTATGTGTTTTGTCAGCCCATGCAGACAAGCATTCTTGGCGAGCTTCACAGCGGACTCATTGTCACAAAACACAACTGTCGGCTTCTCCTGACCAACTCCCAACTCCTCCAACAAACGCCTTAGCCACACTACTTCCTTGGCCCCATGGTGTAAGGCCATGTACTCAGGGATTGGTGCCCAGTAGCAGTGAGCGATCTCATCTTCCTCAATCTGCTCAACCACACTCCCAGCCTGCACCACATTCGGCTTGCCTCTTCCCCCATAGGTCAGCCTCACAGGAGGGCGCACATCCCTCCTAGGACGCTCAGGCGGGTGTGGAACTCGAGGTGGAGATTCATGCTGCTGCTGCTGCTCCACCTCAGCTGCTCCCCCTTCCTCAGTCACCCCAGACATCTCCTCCTCTGACACTGCAACCTCCACCTGTCTTGAAGGCTGCTGCAACTCATCTGCCTCCACAATGAGTGGTGTAGATGGAAGCTTCTGTTGCTGCTGCTTCCATTCCTTATAGTACAGGGACTCAAGAAACTTCACATCCCTTGACACTGTCAGCTTCTGGGTGGTCAGGTCCCATAGCAGCCACCCCTTGTGATCCTTTGCAATCCCCAAGTGCACACCCCATCTTCCAGAAGCCTCCAACTTCCCCCTTTTCTCCTTGGGCACATGAAACACCACCATGCACCCAAATGCCCTCAGCATGTTCACCGCTGGAGCACTCCCATACCACTTGGCATATGGGATCCACTCCTTATCTCCAACTGTAGCCAGCACCCTATTCTTCACAAGGGCGACCTGCCTCAGTGCAGACACCCAAAACGGATCAGGCAGCCCTGCACGCCCAAGGAGAGTGCGTGCCCCCTCCTGCAGGGTCCTGTTGAACCTCTCAGCCACGCCATTCTGCTGCGGGTTGTAGGGCACTGTCAGTTGATGCTGGATCCCCTTCCTCTTCAACTCCCCCTCAAAATCAGCTCCAATGAACTCCCCACCATTGTCACTGCGGATCACCTTCACCTTGTGTCCGCATTCCCTCTGAGCTCTAGGCATCCACTCCTTAAGGACAGCCGCTGCCACCTCCCCCTTGCTCTTCAAAGGGTAAACCCACACTGCCCGAGTGTGGTCATCCACAATTGTCAAGAAATAGCGGCTGCCTGAGAGGGAAGGGGCTCTTGTGGGCCCCACCACATCCATATGCACAAGTGCAAGTGGGGTCTTGGCTGGTCCTGTAGTGCTGTTGAAGGGGAACTTGGAGAACTTGGTCTCCAAGCATGTAGGGCAGCTCCCAATCTCCTTCACTCCCCCTTTCACCTCCAAGCCCTTCAGGCTCCCATCCTTCACCAACTTCTGCAGCATAGGGAAGTTCACATGACACAGCCTCTCATGCCATGTCTCCCAATCGGCCTCTCCACTCCTTGGTGAAGCCTTAGCCCATGCCGCACTCGCATCCACACCAGCAAGCACCTCACCATGTGTCTGCTGCTTCTGCACTTTCTTGACTGCTTCCAGGACCCCATCAGTTGGTGCAGTTGCATCTCCTCCTGCTGTTGCCTTTGCCGCTGCTGCCGTTGCTGCTGTTGGAGTCTTCCCATTCCAAGGGATGATGGGCAGCTGCCACAGGTCCTTGATGCAGCTGGTCTCCTCTTCCAGACTCCACAGCACCTTCTTCCCAAGCTTAGCACGGCAGCTGGTTGGTCCAAAGGTCACTTCGGCCTTACTCTTCTGCAGTCGCCGCACAGAGAGAAGGTTAGCAGACAAGCCTTTAACCAGCAGAACATTCCCAAGCCCCACAAGCTCCCCATTAGCTCCCTTAACCTTGGCATTCCCAACACCAATCACGGGGAGCAAAGCACCTGACGCTGCTGCCACATACTTAATCTTCCCAGGGGGTTTTACCTCATCAAGCAAATCTGCCCGTGGAGTCATGTGACTGGTGCAACCCGAATCAATCACCCAGTGCGTGAGAGGGTGCATCACAACCTTTCCCACAGATCCCACATCACCCTCATGCCCATGCACATCCTCAACCATAACAAACAAACCAGGATAGGCATTACCTTGTGCACCTTCACCTTGTGCACCTGAGCCTTGCACAGCGCCACCTTGTGCGCGTTCACCACTGGGCGGCTTCATGCCTGGAGGTGCCCATCCCTCCAGCCTGCTGAAGCACTTGAACCAAGGATGCCCAACCTTCTTGCAGTACCAGCACGTGCCCTCCATTCTGGTACTCCCCCTGCCACTAGAGCTCCCATGCCCCTCATTATAGTCACCTCGGCCTCTACCTCTGCCAAAGCTCCTCCCACGGCCTCGGCCTTTCCAACCCCCTCTTCCTCTGCTGCGCCCTGCAGCTCCATACCCCTCAGCAGTCTTAGTGGCAGCACCGCCTCCCACATGGCGTCTGCGGAAGTCCTCCTGCAGAATCTGCTGCCTTAGCCACTCAGGTGTCCATTGATCTTGCTGAGAGTTGAGGGTGGGGATGAGGTTGTCCCAAGAGTTGTCCAACACCGAGATGATCTTGGTGCACTGCTGCAGCTGAGATACACTGCTGCCCGCTGCTGCCATCCTTGCATAGGTGTCCTTGATCTTGTCAAGGACCGGCTTCACATCGTCCCCTGGTCGCATGGAGATGGCAGCAAGTTCCTTCTCGAGCACGATCACCATCGGGAGAGTGTTGGGCTGAACCACATCACGTAGTAGTTTCCACGCCCTTGGACCCGAATCATCCGCTTCCACAAGATCCTTGATGTGCTCGAACATCTCCTTGTTGACCGATTGAAGAATGAGGTCGAAAAGCACCGCGCTTTTCTCAATCCACCGTTCACGTGCTTCGCCTTCTTCCGGCATCTTCTCTTCCCCAACAGCAATCTTCAGGAGCTTGTAGCGTTTGAAGGCACTCCTCATCCGTCCGCTCCATTCCTCATAGTTGGAGCCATCCAAAGCTTCAACTTTTGATGGCGGCGGCTCACTTGTCTTCTCAGCTACAGCTCCTCTTCCATTAGCATCTCCTCCTCTCTCATTCATCTTCTCCTTGAGAAATGACGAATTGCAGCTCCCCTTTGCTGTCCACACTCAGCTCCCTCGATATTTTCACAAGTGTCGGCGTCCACGAAATTTCGGCAGAGTTTCCCCTTAGCGGAAGACACATCCAACCTTTAGAACACCACTTAGGCACACCCACAGGCCATGGTGGGTCTAGAAGGGTCTTCACACTTCTGTAGACTCCTCTCAATGTCCTTAATATCGCTCTGATACCACTTGTTAGGATTAAGGACAGAGTCTAGGTGAACTTAGGAGCTAGAATTACTCAAAATATAAATCCGAAATTCTGGACAGAAAAGTCGTCTTCACAAGAAACGACGTCGACAAAACACTAGCCGTTGGAATGTCGCGAAACTTGGATATGTTGTAGCTCTTGATCTCAGCTACCGTTCCCAATTTGAATCACGTTGATTGATGAAGTATTCGCGACGCTATGGCTTTCGACGCACTAGGGGGTAAGCTGTAGGAGGAGAACTTAACTCAATCTCAAGAGTTCAATCAAAGTTCAAGAATCTCACAAGGAATTTGAGGAGCAAGAGAAAGGTTGGGATAGAAAGAGAGGGACGAGAGGGAAGGTCCCAAGAGAGTCCCCAACCAAGGAAACCCCATAAGCACAAAGATTCCCTTCCTATAGGAACCTCAACTTTGACCTTTGTCCCTTCCCAACCAATCCATCCAAGTTGGCCACCCTTGCCAACCTAGCTTGGTTGTTCCCAACCAATTTGCAGCTGTTACAGTAGAGTGACAAATTTCCCCAACCCCAAAGGTCCCAACTCCATATAGAGTCACCCCACAACTTCACTTTGTAACCGCCGCAATTGTAACGCAAGCTCATGAACTTTGAATCTTCATAGCTTTCGCGTTCTTGCTCCGATTGAAGCGATTCTTGTTGCGTCGGAAAGATCTTCTCAAGATCTATCATCAAAATACCTGCTCAAACAAAAATAACACAGAACACATTCCCAAACTCCAGAACACACCACACACAAATTCTTTCACATTCAAACCACACATGCAAGTTGAAAACATGGGATGGGAGGCAGACAGAATGTGATAGCATATGATGACATCACACAACATAATAGTGATATGCTTTGGGAGGGGCACATAGTGGATGTGTTCACAGCACTCAATTCCAGAATAGTACACCTGATCTAACCTAGTGCCAAAAGATATACAAAGAGTACATCCGGACAATTGTTTCCCAGGACGAAGAGCAAACTTCCGAACAACGTTTTTAGTACCTAGTCCACCGACCCTTGGCCTTGATCACCACCCGCACCCTCCTAGGCATGTTATCTTCGAGGTTAGTGCAAACCTTTGCATGGATCTTCTCGCACTCTTCTTGGACCCACCCATTTGCATAAGGGGGTGAGAAGTGGGAAGATCGCGAAGGATTTGAGCGTATGCAAGAGTTTTGTGCACAATTTCGGATTGAATGTTATCTTTGAGACTAGCCATGCTGAGGTGTGACCAAAGATGCTATAAGTTGATTGGTCACGTCTTATCATGGATCGTCTTCGTCGTACCGTTCTAGGGAAGAATGACGAACAGAGTGGCAAAAACTAGCGTATACTCCGCGAAACGTAGGGTAACATAGCACGGTCAAATGTGCACGCTTTCACTATTACAATCATGTTAAAATCCACGGGTCTCGTTGCGGTGCAGCTATCGAAGAAGCCTCGACAAGTGGGGAAGAATATCCGGGTTGAGGTCTGGTTAGGAAGAGGGTCACTCCAGTGCTACATATTCATGCTCTCCAAGCCATTCCAAACCTAGGCGGGACCAATGGCTTGGACTAGCTTGGAGAGCATGAGTATGTTGCGCTCGAGTGACCCTTTTTCTCACCTGACCTCAACCCGGACATTCTTCCCGAACAATCGGGACTTCTTCGACTACGGCATAATGATGAGAATTGCGGATCGTAGCATGATTTTAATAGTGCAAGGGTGCACAATCGACTGCGCTACGTTACCCTCAGTTTCGCGGTGTATACGCTAGTATTTGCCGCTCTTTTTGTGTTTTTACGCTATAGCGATACGAAGGAGACGGCCCATGAAAAGACGGAATCAAGCGGCTAATAACATCTTTGATCACACCTCAGCGTGGCTAGTCTAAGAGATAAAATTCAATCAGAAATCATGCACAATACTCTTGCATTCGCTCAAATTCTTCGTGATCTTCCTAGTGCTCACCCCCTTATGCAAAAGGGTGGGTCTAGGAAGAGTGCAAGGAGAGCCTTGCAAAGGTTTGAACTAACCTCGTAGATAACAAGCCTAGGAGGGTGCGGGTGGTGATCAATGCCAAGGGTCGGTGGACTAGGTAGTAGAAACGCTGTTCGAAAGTTTTCTCTTTGTTCAGGGAAACAATTGTCCAGATGTACTCTTTGTATATCTTTTGGCACTAGGTTAGATCAAGTGTACAATTATGGATTTTAGTGCTGTGAACACATCCAGTATGTGCCCCTCCCAAAATTTACCACCATTAAACATTAAGACTTTAGGCATAGTGATCGAAAAGCCCAAAAACCCTAATAAATGCAAAACATCCAGACAATTGTTTCCGTCACTGTAGATGGTATAGAGCTAGGTAGTTTCCGCATCTCACACTTCCGTGTGTAGATTAAAAAATAAAAATAAAAAAATTCCGCACCTCCAGCTCTCGAATTTTGCGCTTCGTAGGTGCCCAAGGGATGGGATGCTCTCAAGGGTGTACACGCTACTAGAACAGCGGCGGTGGCTGTGGTTTTGGAGCAGCAAATGGCGGCACTTCGAATTGACGAAGGTGAACCGGTGGAGGAAGGAGTGCAGAAATTCTTCGACTTGTTGACACGTCTCGAAGGAGCTGACCTGAACTACAGTGACCTTCAAAAGAAGACCAAGCTGCTGGCCTTACTTCCAGACTCATGGTCCTCGCTCATCATCAACCTAAATCGAGGTCTGCCCCGCCTCTCGCTCCAAGATGTGAAGCGGGAAATCTTACAACAAGATTTCCGCTGTCGCGAATTGGCGGGTCCCGATGGTGCCGGAGTTGCAAGCATGGGCCGTGGGCATGGCCATGGAAGGGGCAGAGGGCGAGGAGGCAGATTTTGCAGCAGTAACTTCAATGGAGGCCGTGCTAATGGAGGATATGGCAGCAACAACAACAATAGTGGCTACGGGTGTGGGCGCGATCGATTTGATGACGAATGCCACTTTTGCCACAAGACCAGCCACATGTGGAGAGATTACTACAGATTGCCTGATGGATGGACCCCTTCTCAAGGCCAAGAGGGCAGAGGAGCAAGGGGAGGAAGAGGCAGAGGTCGTGGAGGCCGTGGTGGTCATGGAAGCGAATAGCAAGCATGAAAGGTGGAGACTACGAGACGGGCCCGAGTGAAGATCGATGCCCGGGCAAATTCTTCTTTGTCTCCACGCAAGCGGCAGCTGCAGCAAGAGGTGTGGAAGGCTTTGAGGAGCCAGCTACTGTGGGAAAGGTCACCCTTCACTCTCTGGACATTTGGGTGATCGATAGCGGCGCCACCTATAGCATGACACCTCGTGCGGACTTGCTCACCGAACTCGAACCGTCGCCGGTCAAGCATGTTACATCGGCTTTGGGGCAGCGAGCAGAGGTGAAAGGCATGGGCAAGGCCATGTTCAAGGGTGCTGATGGGAAGATGGTGGGCCTCAAGAACGTGCTTTGGGTGCCCAAACTAGCAGCCAACCAAAAGGCCGGCATGGACACATCTTCCAAGGGTTCCAAAACATATACCGCGAGGCTTGGTGAGCGGAAGCTTTGGGACCTTCATGAGGACAGGGACATCTACAATGAGATGTGGCAAATCCCAGTGGTCCCCATGCCTAAGGGGAGGCAAGTGGCAGCAAGCGTCCGCACCAAGAGTGAAGCGGTTGGTGGCGGTGATCCCGGAAACCAAAGTGACACCAAGAGTGACTCGAAGGATTGCAATCTTGGAGGAACCAGCAAGGCGTGTGAAACCAAGGAGAGTGGTGCAGCAGCAAAAGGTGTTGGAAATCATGAGGAGATGCCTAAGATCAGCAAAGCAGCAGCGGTGAAGGAGAAAGGAGAGAGCTTGTGGGGCACAATTGCGAGTGCCGCTTTCTCCAACCCGACTTCCGCTACGGGATAGTGTGATTAGCTGACCTTGCATCGGCAAATAGGGCATGTGGCATTGCCCATTTTTCAGCAGATAGTAACGCAAGAGATGGTCAGTGGGATACGTGTCAATGGGGAGCCCAATGAGGTGCTTGGCTGTCCAACATGCATGCAAGCCAATTTCACCCGCTACCCGTTCCATAGGTCGGAGACAACGGCGAAGGCACCACTTGATGAGGTGGTGATGGATGTGGTGGGCCCCTTGAAGCTTGGAGCTGCTGGAGCAGAGTACTTCCTCACCATTGTGGATGTCTACACCTGCATGACTTGGGTGTATGTGCTGCCCAAGAAGAGTGATGTCGCTGAAACGGTGAAGACCAATTGGTTGCCGATGGTGGAGCGGCAACAAGACCGGCTTGTGAAGGCGATTCGCACTGACCGTGGGGGAGAGTTCATGAGCAAGGACTTCTCAACCTGGCTGAAGAAGCAGGGCATAAGGCACTCTCTCACCATGCCCTACTCTCCTGCAATGAACAGCATCGCCGAGTGTGCGAATCAGACACTCACGGAGACGGCTCGGGGACTTCTCATTGAAGCCGGTCTACCCAATTACTTTTGGCCGGATGCGGTGCGGCATGCTTGTGTGGCCAAGAACAGAGCCTTCAACCATGTGGGAGAAGACAAATGGGTGCCCTATGTGGAGTGGATTGGAAGGAAGCCGAAGGTGGATATGCTTCGGGTGTTCGGGTGCATGTGCATGGCACTTGTGCCTCAAAAACTTCGGCACAACAAGCTTGATGCCAAGGCAACATGTGCCATGCACCTGGGCATGGCTCAAAACAGCAAGGGATGGGTTCTATGGGACCCATTTGCCAAGAAGTTCCTGGTGAGCAGAGATTGCAAGTTCATGGAGAACTTACCGTACAAGGAGTGGAAGGCTTAGAACCAAGCGAAGATTGGTGTGCGGCTTGGAGAGGTGAAGAGTACCGGTTTGGAGCATATGGAGCTGCCCTTGGAACTGAGTAGCAGCAGCACTATCACGACGCAATCTCCTCAAATGAATGGGGGAGAAGAGGAGGAGGAGGTGCAGCAAGGTGATGAGCGTGCACAGTCACTTCCGCCTCGTGCTACAAGTGCTCGCGGGAACCGACCAGATTTACAGCAACAACATGAGAGCATCCAAGTCCCTGCAGCAGAGGAGGAAGGAAGGGGGAGAAGGAAGACTCAGCCCCCCAATAGCTTGAGCTATGACCGGCTTGGAGGACCAGCCAACTCAACCTTGACCGGTTCGGCTCTCATGCTAGGCGATGATGCGGAAGATGAAAGCGAGGAGTGCGCTTTTGCCTTCTTCTCTCCGGTGGAGATGCCGGGGGAGCCTACAAATCCCAAGGAGGCTTGGGAGGGCCCCAATGGGAAGGATTGGAAGAAGGCCTCAGATGAAGAAATGGGGAGCATCATCGCGAACGACACGTTTGACTTGGTGAACCTACCTCCGGGGCGTAGGGCGATTTCTTCCAAGTGGCTCTTCAAGCACAAGACCAACGCCGACGGCAACATTGAGCGCTACAAAAGCAGACTTGTAGCCAAGGGGTTCCAGCAGCAGGAGAAGAAGGACTAGAATGAAGTATATGCTCCAATGGTGAAGAG